GAGCTGGGCTTGGCCCATTAGTCCCAGTGAAAGGAACTGTGAATGCTTCAGCATACCAAGAGATTTTGGACAATTCCATGCTCCCAACTTCATGGAAACAGTTTGGAGATGGCCCCTTCCTCTTCCAGGAAGACTGTGTTCCAGTACACGAAGCAAGGTCCATGAAGACATGGTGTGGAAGAACTTGACTGTCCTGCACAGAGTCCTGACCTCAACCTGATACAACACCAATGGAACAAATTAGAGCGGTGACTGAGAGCCAGGCCTTCTCGTCTAGCATCAGTGTGTGACCTCACAAATGTGCTTCTGGAAGAAAGGTCAAAAATTCCCATAAACACACTCCTAGACCTTGTGGACAGCCTTCCCAGAAGAGTTGAAGCTGTTACAGCAGCAAAGGGTGGACCGACGTCATATTAAACCCTATGGATAAGAATGGGATGTCACTTCAGTTCATATGCGAGTCAAGGCAGGTGAGCGAATACTTTTGGCAATATAGTGTATATGTTAAAAGTCACATAAGTATACGCAACTGGGAAAATCCTGGGAATTTCTTCGTCACACCAGACAAGGCAGAACAGGAATGTTTGGCAAGCTGCAAAAGAAAAGTTTAAAAAATGAAACAACAAACACAGTAGGTATTGAAACAAACAGCAGACTGAGACTAAATGTGAACAAAGAGAACCAGTGCCAGTGTTTTCCTCTTTATCACATAAGAGGAAGTCTCAATAATCTATCATTGTTTGTTTTGGGTTAATATGTAACATTACATAAACAAATATGTCACATTTCTCTGACGGACCTTTTCTCACACTTCACTTTTGACAAACATACAGGATCACACAATGAGACGACCATGTACACTCCGCCCGCATTCAATCACACAGTGCAGCTCAAAACTAAAAGTAAAGTGAGTCATGAATAATCATGTGTATCAATTTACTTCATGCAAAGTACAGTAAAAAGAAAAGGGTCAATCCAGGTAAAGTTAAATCAATGGGATTTTATTAAATATAGTTTTTTTTTCAGCAGTTTTTTTTGTGCAGTTGTCTACTTTAGGTATTATTTGATTTTATTTGATTTGATTTTACAGTCAAATGGCCAAATTCTTGCCAGCAGATGCCATGCAGCTGATGAGCTCTGCAGCCTGAGGAATCACCACATACAATTAAAAAATTAAGCTTTATAGTAGTTTAAAACCCCATTACCTCAGAATATAGTATGGAAAGGAAAGAATTAATATGAATCATATATCTGGTTTCTGTTTGTCTTGACCCTTGAGTTCAACTCTCTTTTTTCCTCACTCAAAACTCACACAGTCACCACCATCTTGGATGAGGAAAGTCGTCTACGTCTAAATTCGTCATGCACTCGGCACTATCACTTCTTCTATTCGCTACTGAAACCCTCACATGTTTGGTTGTTGTGGATTTTTTCCCCCTTCTCCTGGAGATAAGAGGTAACCCAACGACCACTTTTTGTCACGCCCATCATACCTCACTGTGGTCACTGATGATTAGCTGCACTTTGCGTGCAGCGAGCAAGTGCCACCAGCTGCTGTTCTGGGACCTCCTCGGTCCAACTCATATTCTGCATATCAATCTTCACTCGACATCAGTGCAAGAGAAACACGCAGAAACATCTACCAGTTCCAAGAAAACATATTTTGTAAGTAGTGGTCGAATTTACATGAAAGGAAGCAGGTCTAGCGGTCTTGGTTCCTGTGCGTAATGGTGTGTAGTGGTGCGTAAAAGCGCTTCTCCGAAAAATAAATAAATATTTGTAGGTAAAACTCATTTGTCATATTGGGTTAGCACATTTTGAAAAAATAGGCCAAGCACATAAATAAAATAAAGTTAAAATTCTTGAACTTATAATGTGTTTTAAAAATCTGGCCCACTATTCCGGTGCGTAATTGTGCGTAATGGTGCGTAAAAAGCGCTTCTCTGAAACATTTCGCGTCACTGTCGGCCGTTCTGTTTATTAAGAAGGTTCAGTTTTAGGTCAGGCTACAAAATAGACTGTCTTTTTTGTTTGTTTGTTTGCTTTTTGTTTTTTTCTAAGATACGACTCAGTGCTTTTGAATGACAACATTATATTTTAGAACAAAGTCTATAGCAGACTATGTTCCACATGTTTTAAAGAATTGTTTAAAAGAAAGTTATTCCGAGATAAAAAAGAAAAAAACACACCTCACACTGTGTAAATTAAAATAGTTTTATTGTATGTTATTTTTTTATATTTTTTTTTTTACATTTCCAACTGTTGCTATTCAATCTAATACAGGCTACGACAGAAGAGAGAGAGAGTGAGAAAGGGTTCTCAAACAGCAAGTTCAGTATTTTCAACTGTAGAAAAACTAAAATAGCTAAAGCAAACTCAGAATCTTGAGTTGAATGCAGTTTAGTCCACACAGAGTCAAAAGCCGGCAAAAACGCCTTTGGGCCGCATAGTGTTCAGTGGGAGAATATTCACTTCTTAGCGGCAGCCCTGGTCCTGGTCTTGGCAGCCTTGGCAGCCTTGGGAGCCTTGGCGACCCTGCGTTTGACCTTCTTGGGGGCCTTTGGCTTCTTGGCGGCTTTCTTTTTGGGGCTCTTCTTTGCCTTCTTCTTTTTAGGTGACTTCTTTGCTGCTGCTTTCTTGGCGCTGGGCTTCTTAGCCTTCTTGGTCGTTGCCTTCTTCTTTTTCACCACCTTCTTCTTTCGAGGTGTGGGAGGCTTTTTGTTCAGCTTGAGAGAGCCTTTGCTCCGGACCAGAACTTTCTTGGCCACCAAGCGCCTGATGGCACCGGCCAGCCTGACTTTGTTCTTGTTCACATCGTAGCCTCGCGCCGCCAGGACCTTCTTCAGGGCTGGCAGGGTTATGCCAGTGCGCTCGGAGGACGCAGCCACAGCCTTCAGTATCAGGCTTGACACAGTCGGACCTTTCTTGGCCTTGCTTGTCTTCTTGGGAGACTTGGCCGGACCAGGCGCCGGTAAAGCAATCGCAGGAGCAGACATTGTAATATCTCTGAGACCAGGATCAAGTAGAAGACAGAGTGGGTGTCTGTGTTGTCCTCATGACAGGTCCACGCTTTAAGACACCCCAATGAGAACCGTGTAGACTCAACCCCGCCACCACAGTGCGCCTCTTCTCTCCCTCTCTAACTTGATCAAGTTTGTGTTTTCTTCAACTGGATTATTCTATAAAATCCCTGCCTAAAATGCTGTATATCATTATGAAACGCATCTCATAAAAATCTGCACATTCTCAGCTGCACATATCTGTATTTTTTATTTAGAAATTGGTCGAATTCCGTCAAATATGTTGCTTAATTACGAGTGGACAGGTGCAGAATGTAATTTGAGATGTGTAATTTGAACAGTTTAACAACTCTACATCCTCTAAATAGCCAATTACAAAGTTTTAAAACTGAATAAGCTTAAACACAATAATGTGACTGATATACTGCCCTAAAAAAAATCTAAAATTTCTGTTATTTTTTACAAAATATGTCCATTTAAAGATGACCAAAGAAACACAGTTGCCTTATTTCTATGCTGAGGTCACCATAGAGTGACCTAGACATAGATAACAAAAGCAAGAGCATGTTTTTAAAAATGGATTATGTTAAGAAGGTTGGATAACCCCAAAATATTATTTGTGTAATGAGCTACATGGTAAAAAATAGATACTACTGTATGTCTCTACTGTGTGGAGGAAGACGGGCCTTAACCAGAGTCTTTGTTATCAGCCAGTTAGGTGGGGCAACCAGACAAACGAATTTAAGATTAATTTTGCGGTTTTTTGAAAGACTCTCTATCAATAATCAACAAGGGATGCATTCACATTAATGGATGTGTATTTAAGCCAATTTCTTTCTTATTTAAACATCAGTCTCTAGTTTTATGTCAACAAGAATATTCTGCTTTGTTTTTCTTTACTCTCTACTGATTTTGCACAAAATACCCTAATATACAGTTTGTTACAGGACTTTTTGAAATATCAACTTCAGTCCGATACCGTCTTATTTCAAACATAAAATAGCACTTTTTATCATGTGTAACCATTTGTTGTTATTTTACATATTTGTGCACAGTCGGTTGCAGGTACATTCACAGGTTCTGTGTGGTTTGCATGTTTGACCTACGACTGAAGGTTCTGTAGTTTTAGTGATTCTCACGTGCTGATTTTCTAAAAATAAAATAAAAAAGCCATCATGCAAGTCTGTTTTTGTGATCTCGTGGTCATTCTGTTTGTAAACTGCATATACAAAAAATAATAATTAAAAAATGGTGTTCACATTTGCAGTTTAAAATCATTTTTCATGTTGGGTTCATACATGTATACATTGAAAATAAGCCAAAGTACATAAATAAATAATGTTCAGACCTTGAAGCTAAAATGTGATCAAAAATCTGGACCATTGTTTCATATTTGTTCTCAAATAGAGAAGATTCTGACATGTGGAATGAAATTATCACACTTGTAAAACACTTAAAGAGAATTAGTCTCCGTCTCTCCTTTGTGTTTTCTCCCGCTGTTTTTTTCTTTTTCTTTCCTTAATATGAGATAACAAGTGCACTTGAGTGTGTGTGTGTGTTCGGGAGAAGATTGGCAAAGTAGTCCAGCCTTCTGTAGTGGACTGATAGCGCCTCCTGCACTTACATGCACACAGAGCGCACAAACACACAGCAGAGTGAAGACGTTTTTGTTTCAGTGAAGATGCAGTTCTGTTTCAGGCCAGTAAGTGGCAAGGCTGTGCTGTCTTAAGCAGAACTACATTTTAAAGTGGCCACGAAGGGAACATAGTCATGTGTTTGGTGCCCAGGAAGTGTCATTTTTTTGTCATTATTGAAGTGTAGAAACCGTAACACTGGACTCGAGTGAAGCAGATATTCCTGTATAGGATCAAATAAAGTTGGAATGATCTCTTGGAATGCCCATGCCTCTCTACCTTCTTTAACATGATACAAATGGCTTGGATTAATCTGCTGAGACTAACATATTGCCCCCATTAATAAACCAAAACTTGTATTTCTTCTGAGCAGAGAGTTTTTCCAGCTTTCTTGTACAGCTTTTGTCTCATCTTCATCCACTGCTTAGTGTGGAATCTAACGCTTTGATTGACCCCTTTTAGTTTGTGTCATATGAGTTGTCATATGAAAAGTCGGAGCCTTTTGCCGTTTTATGCTGAGAAGAACACCAGCTGACAACTTCTGCTCCCTCAAACCACCACAGTAAGTAAGTGAAATGTCAGCGAACGAAGTCGGCAGCATTGAGCTTATCTTCCACTGGACTACAGCCGAGGCCTCCCGCCCGCCTGTTGAAGTGGTCATAATGCAACCACTGTTATGTGGCAGTGGATTGTCAGTGTGATCAGTGTCCTCTATTCAACTGCAAAGCGACACCAGAGTCGCATTTAGTATTAACTTGAGGAGCAGAAAAGTGGAGCATCAGTATGATTCAAGTGAGGCCATGAATTCATAACCGATCAGCCTCATAGTTCCCGTTCCCGAGTTGTTGCTCAATCATGCTGAGTTACAGATTCTTCTGAAAAACTAGAAATCCTCCCTGGAGTGAATCATCAGAGACGCGGGGAGTTTGTGTTGTTTTACTTTTAAAAGCTGGCAAAAAGAGATAACATTTTCCCACTAAGGTGGAGCCCACACCCCACGGTGTACACTCCATATAATAACTCATTCCCCAACACGTGATGAAATGCATGGCTGTAAGAAAAAAAACACTATTTACTCATTCAGATAAATCATTTTAGACATGACTGTGCAGGTTTGTGTTGATATAGAAATGCTGGTGATTGCTTCAACTTAATATTATGTGTAATTTATTGACTGTTGATTTAAAACTAGATTAAAATTGAGGTAATTTTTTTTTCAAAGTCTCCTCCTTTATTTTAATATGTGTGGGTAGTTTCAGACAGTTACAGCTGATAAGTAAAAATACCACTGATTAAAGAGGAAAAGCTAATTCCCCCCCAGAGTCAGTATAGTTTGCTGGTTGAACTTAAAGAAACTGTTTTAACTTTTAAAAAATATAGATTTTTATAATAATAATAAACTTTATTTTAGAGTAGTTTTCAAAACAAATGCTACAAAGTGCCTTTCAATAAAAATAAATTAAAAATTAAAATACAATAAGCACACAGAATAAGTGATAAAATTAGCTGAGAAAGAAAAAAAAAACTTAAATAAAATCAAAATCCAAAATTTTTCGACCCCAAACATTATATTTGAGAGTGTAGGGCAGATTAAGATCAATAAATGCTCATTATTTAGTTGTAAAAAAGGGTTCAAACCCATTTTATTTTATTTTATTTTATGTTAAATTGACAGAAAACCCCCTCTGGTTCTGTTCTGGTCTCTGGTCTGCCTCCTGCCCGCTGATGTGTGATGCGCTGCAGCCCCCAGCAGGAGGCTGAAGCACGGGGTGGAGGGGGGGCTGCAGGACCTGTTCCGTTGCGTTGCTCTCCTCCTCCCCAAACCATGTGATCATGTGATCTCAGTCACTGCAGTCAGGCAGAGCGAGAAAACTTGTGACCAAAAGCAGCAGGAGAGAGCAGCCCGGTGAGATCAATACAAATCAGGACCGCAGCGACTCCACACAGTCTCCCTCCAGCCTCAGCCTCACGCACACGCACCATGGACTGCGGAATCATCACGTCCAAAACCATCCTCCTCTTCCTCAGCCTCATATTCTGGGTAAGTGTTTCGCCGTTTCTCCACCTGCACAGATTTGAAATGAGGGCAGAGCGGAAGGAAAGGGAAGTGAAACGTGGGTGATGGCTGAACAGCAGCGATCTGAACCTGTTTTCTTTCCACGGTTCTCTAATCGTTGTTATTCACACACATGTGAGGCTTTATGTTGTGTTTAAAGATTTATAAATCACAACCCAGGGCTTGATAAACATCCTCGTGGCCTCTCCCAGTGCTCTGGCCTAACACAGTTGCACCACACTTCCTCATTTCAGCTCACATCTGCGTAGTTTGTTTTATTCAGGTTTCCAAACACATTCCCAGCTCTTGTGAAGCAGAGGAAGCCTGTCCTGTCAGAGTCATGCTGAACTCTGACTCACACTGTGGCCGATCAAAAGTCACTTCAGAGTCAACTTTGGCTGGATGTTGTTGGTTCATGCTGGGTAATGAACTCTGACTGTCCTCATTTTACTGTAAGAAAAGCAGCAGAAGGGACAGTGTGTGTAATTAGATTACTGTCACAGGCTTGTGTGTGTCAATATTTGTAAGCGAGAGCACAAACACGCTTTATTGCTTTAATTTGAATACCCACATGTACTTCTTTTTTTAATTTCCTCATGCGCCATCTTCAGCCTAATGCTTTATTTCCTCATGTCTGACTGGTATGATCAGATTCTTTGTTTTAACCATGTTTAGGGTTTAAAGGTAAATTAATTTCCTTGTTTTCCAGCAGCTCTGCTTTACAAACAACACACACGTTGGACAGCAGACTTCTTGTCCAACCTACATAATCTAACAAGTCACCCACATGTGGACTTTTCCAGTCGTGTAGTCGCTTTAATCAGCGTTTCTAAAGAATGTGGGCCAAAGTCCACCTGAGTGAGCGTTTGTTTTTCTTCACAGATTTCTAATAGCTGCCTCAGATGGCCACTTTCTCTCCGGTTTCCCTCCATTTCAGTATCGCTTTTTTATTTATTATTTTGGTTCCTTGTTTTGTTGTCGGCCGTCATGCGTATTGAGTTCCTTGATGGATGGAGATAATGGAGGCTGTTAAGGGATAGTGCTGCTCGTGTGCCGGCACTGAGCAGCTTCCTCAAAGAGAATCACTGGGAGTTTGTTGTTTTACGCTGTAGCATCACATCGTAAAGTCTTCCCCTTGCTTTTTGATTTGAATTGGTGCTCTATCAATAAAAATCTAACTGAGAGTGAGAGTTTGGCCTAGAAGCTGTATTGAGAGATTTACCCAAAATATAAAACTGACCTCTCAAAACATTATTGAAAGTTTATTCAAGATTCCAAACAATTTAATAACCTTCTAAATGTAATCAGTGTATCTGATTTTCCAACAAATTGGATGATTCATGAGGGGAAATAAAAGTTCAACCAATCACATGAGCAGAACTGCTGCTTTCTTTCCCCAAGTCGGTCCAAACGTGCACCACGTCTGGAATGTGATCCGGGATACAGTATTAGTGCCGCAGGGACCCGCTAACATCATCCCCGCATCAAGAGACACGGCCTCGGAGATTTCCCACATTCCAGGGAGGTGGCGGCGTGCGTGGACGCTATACGTTGTGTAAGCCTCTTTGTGCTGCTTCTTAGGCACAAGATCAGAGTTTCTGGAAAGATTAGGGGGTGAGCGGTGGTGGTGGTGGTGGTGGTGGGGAGGGGGGTGTAGCGTAACTACCCCACAGGGATCCCGTGACTGTGGAGTGATTAAGAGAAGTGAGTCATGAGGTTGAACTCCAGAAGGAATTATTGTTAAAGGCAAAACACACAGATAGGAACAAACGACGTGTAACTCTGATAATCGGAGGAGGAAGTGACCTGACGTTATGCGCACACACAAAGGGGAATTCTGATTGTTATTCCAGCAATAAAGTCTGGTGCCATCATCTGTTTTTTTGACATCTGTCTGTCAAACAAAGGAAAGTGTAGCCCTCTCATATTCTCAACTGTGCTACCAGCGTGTACAAAACACTGTGTTTGAGTTTAACCTCGATCACAGTCTAGATTCAGAAGTGTGGTTTATGTAACTTTTACCTTTTGCTCCTCCCTCCCTCCCCACCTCTCACTGTTGGACTTCTTTTATCACAAACGATGACCTGAATTAATTCTGACGGTGCATTTTAAAGGGCAAAGGGGAGTCAGGAGCGACGACAGAAACACTTCTGTTTTTGTTGTTGATGCGTACTGTTGAGCCTCCTGACTTCTGGGGGAACAGATAGATCGATCTTTTTTGTTAATTTTTAGTGTCTTCGGTTCCTATACACGCAGTCTTGTGATCGGTGATGTCACTACTGAAGCATGACTCGGACAACAGCGGCGACGATGGCGTGACTTAAACTTCCATCTGCCTCCACCTTGATAAACTATCAGTGACCCAGATCACACCGGATAAAGACACGAGAACGAAATCATTCAGATTTATTGGTGTTTGTGGCTATTAGAAGGTCACTGTGTCTCCTGTCTTTTGTATAGTAGTTAAACATTCTACTAATGCGGTACAGGTTGGTGTATTTTAACTATCAGACCGACCAAATGACTGAAGCATTACACCAGTATTTCCTAATGGAAGGTTACAGCCGGCTCTCTTGTTGGTTTTTGGTTATGCAGTGTGGAGAATATTTTAGCTCCTGCACAGACTGGAGAACAGACCATGTGGCAAATCCCTTCCACTCTATCAATATGTGTGTGTTTCTGCGTTGTTGAGTGAAGATTTACAAGCCGAATCTCCATTAATTCCATTCATTCAAGTTAAAATAGCATGTTAGATTGTGAATTAGCAGAAATAATGAAAATTAGGCAACGTAATGTAGTGCTTAGTGTGGGAGCTTCTGCCAATAAACAATGGACACAGATAAAACAGTTGAGTTGATTTCTGTTGGGTCTTTATTAGACAGAAAAATGAGTAAACTTGTGTCTTTTAATATTTATTTCAATGCATTTACTCTCAGTTCCTTACTTGATGTAATTATAAACATGTTCTGATCTGTATGGACACATGACAGCTGCTCATTTTTACCTCCTCGGCTTTGATTGAACACTTTGACATGTGTCACATGTGTCCCAAACTACCAGAAATCCAACTATGTGTGGGATGCACATTCGTTTAATGAAGCAATAGGAGAAGATATGTAGGTCTCACTCAAAGTATTTATTTATCAGATAGTTGAACAAGCATACAGAGCTCTGGATCAAACTTCTCACCTTAACATCAACAGAGTTAATGCCAGGACACGAAGTCTGACTGACGGCCTCTCCCTGATCCAGTGTACTTTATACAATTACATGAGGATGTGCACAGAATGTGTTGCAGCTAGCTGATTAGCTCCTCCGTGTCCTTGGATCTTCTTCCACCATCTCACTGGTGCAGAAACTTGCCACTCAGCAGCCAGCACCTTCAGTTCCTCCCTCCTGCAGATACTTGCTTGTGACAGAGAAATATTCACAAACCACCAAAGTCCTGTCTCCACTTATGCTTTCTCATGCTGCAACTGTTTACAAATTATGTTGATTATGCCTTCAGATAATAATAAGAGGTTGAGATTGTCAAAACGTGAATCAAAAAACATATGATCCTGACACGTTGTTTCTTCCCGACAGGCTGCAGGAGCGGCGTTGGCCTACGTTGGCGCCTACATGATCCAGAGCTATGACAACTTTGGCAGTTTCATTCAGGACAAGCACACGCTGATCCCAGCCGTCATCGTCATCGGCATCAGCGTGGTGATGTTCGTCTTCGGCGTGGTGGGATGCTGCTCCACGCTTCGCGAGTCCAAATTCGGCCTCAGCTTTGTGAGTATGAGGGAGAGCGGCGGAAGAGTCGGTCAGCCTCTCGGTTCCTCGCTCAGCTGGAGTCTGGAGACGAAAACCACAATGCCAGCTGTCATCTTTGATGTTTTGTATGTTCTGTTTTGTTCTCTAGATTTAATTCCTGTCTCTTTTTTTCCAGTTCTTCCTGATCATCATGGTGATCTTTGCAGCTGAAGTGGCTGCGTTGGTGTTCAGCTTCATCTACCAAGGCAAGGTGAGTCACAGATAGGTGGTCGAAACAGTGTTTTCGCAATTTAAGCTATTTTTTCATCATCCATTAAGAAAAACTTGCATATTCTTTGTTAAGCACCTGTCTGCATACTTTGTGTTTCCTCTCGTGTCTCTCCAGATTAATGGAAGCCTGGAAAAATCTATGAACGACGCCTTCTCAAAGTACGGCGGACAGGGCGCCGCTGAAACCAACGCTGTAGACTTACTGCAAACTCAGGTTGGTGTTCTATATTCTACTGTGTATAAATAGATTTGTTTTCTCAGTTGTGCTTTCATTCTCTTCAACCTCTTCTGCATTGCTTGTATTCCCTCTGACCTGCTTGGTTTCATTTCCCTCTCTTGCTTTGATGATTTGCTTTTCAATCTGTCTTCAGGCTTCAGTAAGAGAAAAATTCTTCTGCCACCGATAAACAAACGCTGTGCTCTCCACCTACGTGTCCACGATGCAGGCAACGGAACATTCTCATCGCCTGTATGTTTTCTCTTTGACTCTGTGCAGTTGCATTGCTGTGGTGTCAACAACTACACCAGCTGGACCAACTCCAGCTGGTTTACCAGCCACAACAACACGGTGCCCAAGTCCTGCTGTATAAACGTCACCTCACAGTGCACCGGCCGACTGGATCAGCTCGATCTGCTGAACACGGAGGTAAGTCAGACAGACGTGTCTCTTTTTTTTTTTTTTTTTGGAAATAGACGCTTTGCATGAATTTACAGTCGTCCTCAAATGTATTCATATGATTCCATTAAAGACAAGGCAAAATTCACAAAAGTCACTCAAATAAGTAGAAACTGAAAAACGTAATAATAAATAAAAATTTGCTAAATTTTAATTTAGTGAAATAAGACGTTGCTTTTGAATTGTGGTTGAAAAGAATTTTTTTAAAAAAACAATCCCAGACAAATTATAGCATTTTGCTGATGAGCAGTGGGCCAAAATCTAAATACTTATCAACAGGTGCAGAAGTCTGATTGAGTTACAGAAAGCACTTGATTGCAGTGATTGGCTCAAAGGGTTGTTCAACTAAATAGTTAGTTTATGGGTCACATCATGGGCTGCAAGGTGGAGCGGTGGTTAGCACTGTTGCCTCGCAGAAAGAAGGTCGCTGGTTCACGTCCCAGTGAGGACACCCGGGTCTTTCTGCGTGGAGTTTCCATGTTCTCCCCAGCGTGGGTTCTCTCCGGGTTCTCCGGCTTCCTCCCACACAGTCCAAAAACATGTTGAGGCTAATTGGTGATTCTAAATTGTCCGTTGGTGTGAATGTGAGTGTGCTTGGTTGTCTGTCTCTAAGTGTAGCCCTGTGATAGACTGATGACCTGTCCAGGGTGTCCCCTGCCTTCACCCTGAGTCAGCTGGGATAGACTCCAGCCCCCCACGACCCCAGTGAGGAGTAAGTGGTGTATAGATAATGGATGGATGGATGGATGAACGGGTCCCATCATGCTTGTTTGCCCTTTTCTTTTTTTAAATCTATTTTTCTAAATATATTATGATTTCCTTTTTTTTTATTTAATTTTTTTATTATTATTACTTTTGTCAGTTTCAGCTCATTTCAGTGACAGCTCTTTGTTTCCTTCTTTAATGGGAGGCTATGAATACATCAGAGGACGACTGTACATGTGAGCTCAGCATCGTGCGCTGTTTATTCGGTCTGGTTTATTAAATGCTTCTAACTGCTTGCACAGTTTGAAATAGACTTTGAAACACAAATGATCTCGGATTGAATGCATTTAAACATTTACTCCTAAGCTTCTTATGTACTGTATGTGTGCTCACTGGACTTGTGTTGTTGTTTCAGGGCTGCCAGGGCAAGCTGGAGCACCTCCTGCAGGATGTGTTGAGATATGCAATGCTGGTCGTTTTCGGCTTTGCCATCATCAAGGTAACAGGAGTTCTGCAGATGCATGACCGTACATCCGTTCAGTGAGATACACACTAGTCAGATGATGCCTTTTTTCCCAGATAAATGCGAGGCTACACATTCTATTTCTCTAACTTGCCCTAACTTTGTGTTATGTCAGCTTGTCATAAGTGAAGAGCCGCACCGAAGTGTTGTTTAATCGAATTACACAAACGGGATATTACTTGCCTTTAAATCTGCTCGTGTTAATGCACAATGACAGCTTTGTTGAAAGCTACAATCTGAAACAGAAAGGCATCAGTGTCAGCCACTTCAGCGGTTGTACACTGTGCTTATTTAATTATGCATTTCCAAGATATTTTTTTCTAAGAAAGCTGAACTCGGAGACAGCCTTACAATGGAAGACATGCGTGAATGGATTTACCACTTTGTGATCGTTGCTCTTCACAGAGTAGAGCACTTGATCCCTGTGCTCGTAGCATTTAGAGCACTTGCAGCCCTTAAACTCCACCCCTGAGCCGATGTGTTCATGCCGCCTCAGAAAGTACATTTTTTAAGCCTTGTGTCTGATGACCTTTATGTATTTTTTTTGCTGTTGCAGTTCTTTGGGATGCTGAGCGTTTGCGTGATAACCTGTAGAACTGGCAGCCGGAGAAGTGGCTACCAGCCTCTCTATGCCTGAAACACTTCCTGCAACCACCTACTGTACTTCCACCTCCACGTTTCGCTCCACTAGATCTGCTGACTGCTCACACCGCACTGTACAGAAGCATCCATTCACTGTGCAAAAAATCGGATATCGACGAGAGCATCACATGGAAATCGACACAAACTCGTTAAATCTTTTGCTGAATGCGGCCTTGCTTTTAATTTATCAGTTATTGTCTAAATTCCCCACATTGAAGGATCGTAGCTTCGATCATGTCTCAGCACAAACTGTGGCCTTTCTTTGGAAATAGCACATAAATAACATTTTAAAAGTAATTAAATCATTGTAAATCCCTCTATGACGAGCTTTTGGATTTTGTTTGCTGAAAGCCTCGTGCAGCTGCTAAGACATCAAATGAGAGAAAAGATCACAGGAAACAAATCTATTTTGGACATTAAGGCTTCTGCTTGTAAATCTCACTGAGCCAAATCCCTTCGCAGCATCCTGTAGATATTTTTTTTGGAGGACATTAGACTTCAGAATGTACTTTAATGAATGACTTCAAATGATATTTTAAGCTTTTTTTTGTGATTGTGAACAAAAAGACAGCGGTTTGATGCCTTACTTAGGGGGTGCAGTATTTATAGCCAACTGAATGAATATAAATGTCATTTTATGGTCAGTTACCTGTATTGAATTGGGTCGTAGTTCTAGTTTGTTGTGTTTGTTATATTTCTGAATTAAAAAAAGGTGAATATTTCACAATAATTTGTGCGTTTAAATCACACACTTGTCTTCTGTTATGCATTTTTAGAGTTTTATCGTCTTGTAATTCACAATAATAATAATAATAAAATAATATTATAAAAAATAATAATAAATAATAATTTTTAGAGTTTTATCGTCTTGTAATTCACAATAATAAGTCACTCCCAATAACTGTACACACATTATTATCAGACGTTGTTATGAAGCGAGTGCAGAGGGAGGCGAACAGCGATTATGTCCGATCCTGTCATCATTTTTTATGCCAGAAGTTGTTTTAAAAAAGCCTCTTTTCCAAAAGCAGACTACTGTTGTGGTGTTACATTCAGAGCATCCCACTAAATGTGATCCCCGGTGGTTATCTGTCCCGTCCTGACTCTGCTGATAAAGAGGCCCCCAGCGGGACACGTATAGAAGATAAGAGCATTCATCTTACATAAGCTCTGTTAGTGTTAAAGATAAATAAAAAATATAAAAAGTCATTTCCAGGGAGAGTCATCAGAGGACATTAACATACCACCCACTGATTTCAGTCATTGGTTTGTTTCAAAGTTCAGCTCATCACTTTGCTTTTGAATTAAAGAAATATATATATATTTTTTCATCTTAACATTTGTGAATACGGCGACATTAAACTTTAAAAGTGTTGAAAATAATTGCAAATAGATGTAAAGTACTACATTTAGTGGATTTATTTATTTGTTTTTTAGATAATAGGTGCATTTATTTGCAAGATATTTACACATTTAAGTTGAACTTTGACAGGACAAAAGGCCAAAAATAAGATTAACAAACCAAAATACAACACTTCAGCAACCTATCCCAGTAAAGAGGTTTAAAAAAAATGGCCATCCACCCCCACAAACTCTCAACAAATTGGCAAAACCGTCTTGGCTCCTTTTTGTTGTGACCTTTCATTGGGCCTGAAGAAATTAATCTGCAGCTGATTGACCAATCCAGTTTCATACATTCACACCAGAAGTCTTGTCATGCAGACATCTCATACTGGGAAGGAACATAGACCAGTTATATGACAAAATAGGACCACATTCGTAAGACAAAACGATAGAAGTGAATGTTAAGAAGAGATTTAAAAGTTAATTTGTTTGCCTTTAGTGAGGCCCTGTTAGAGGATTTCATGTAATAAACAGGCTCATAGTGAGTTTGATTGTTACAGTCGAGGGTCAGACCATTTAAGGCCACTTATAATCAATTCTAATACTTACATGTGAGCTATACATTATAGACATATTTCAGTTTTTTCATTTAGTAGATTTAAATATAGTAAAACTAGAATTTTACAGCCAAAATTTGGATTTTTTTTAATGTGCTTTTTTGTTTGTTTGTTTGTTTTTTTGATGAATCCAAACCAGCTTCAACTTAATTTGTCTCCACTATCCCAGTCCCTGTCCATGCATTAAAAAAACCCTCTTTGGATCTACAACAGCAGCATTTGCATCATCTCTGCTGTTGTTGTAAGTTTAGCTGCAGTACCAAGAAGATCCTGCAGGTGGTGCTAGAGGACGTGCTCTGTGGTGAAGGGGCCCCAAATTGTTTACTGTGTGCTTCCTACCCAGTTAATATTTTATCAAGTATGATATAAATATATCAGAATACAATATGCATGAAGTCTGTTTAAACAATGCCATAAATATCCAGATGTTTTGCTCGAAGAAACGCTGAGAAATCCTTTATCAACAGTTTTTTTTTTTTTTTTTTTAATCTTTGCATTGACGAAACAATTACACCGCTTGTGTTGCAGTTTCAATTAATGGCTCTTCATGTGATTGAGATCTGTGTGTGTGTCTGCAGGCGTGTTAATGACATCCGCTGATGCGAACGACCCCGCTGACCCGTTCTCAGTCTGCGTCCCTCTCATATCTCTTGACTGCATATCTTATTCAGAGCACATCCCCGCTGCCCCGGGCTGTGTTGACATTTCGACAGGCCCCTTCTTTTTTCGGAGAGAACTGTTGGCACACACGCTGCTAGATAACCTTGTCAACTCCGAGACCCGCTCTCCTCCCTTGTTCCTTCAACTCATGTCTTTTTTTCTTCTTCTTCTTTCCCTTGTCTCTGTCTTTTACCTTCATGTCTGATTGCCCCTCAGTTCTTCAGTCTCACCTTTTTCCCCTCTCATCATGCATCTTTCTTTATCTGCGTTTCAGGTTTACGTCCATCTCTTATCTCCTCCTCGGACCACCCATCTGTTTTCTGTTCTGTGCTCTTGTTTTTCTTAACTTTTCTCAGCAGACGAGGATGCTGCTCCTTCTACGCTCACCCACCGACTCATGCTGCGAATAATAAAAATCAGTCTGAACACAGATAAAATCTAAATCAGGAAATTAAAAACCAAGCAGTGAATGATTCATTGAAGGTTTTGACGATCACAGATAGAGGCATTGTATCGTAAACAAGTGTGGAGACATGTGTGGGTGTGTGTGTTAGTATTTGTGTAGTACGCAGGACGTCTTCAGGGACTCAGAGGCAAGTTTAGATGCTAATAGTCAGAGCAGTAAAGGCAGATAGCATGATTAGGTTCATTCTGTCCGCTCTGATTATAGGTATAGGGTTTCTTTTTTTATCACGTCGCCACAGACGTCAGTGACGTTTCTGAGGAGGTGACACTCCGAACATGTCAAAGATAAAAACAGCTCCTATCTAAAAAATACTCATTGTCTGATAAAAGAAGAAACCTTATAGCAGTGAAGGCAGAGAAGGCCCAACTTAAAGTTTCTTATATAGGTCAAGATATCATTTTTAACCCTCAAACATCTATTTTAAAAAGTTACACACAGAACCTTGAAAACAACAATGTCGGCCTCAAGAACGCTGCCATCAAACTATTTCATATTCATATAATTTTTCACTTTCACTCAGCGTTTTGTTTAATCAGTCCTGATGACTATTCAATTTTTGAATTTTAACCCTTTAAATGCCACCTTGTTTACATTATGTCACTGTTGTTGTTTTTTAGGGAAAGAAAAACAACACAAAAATGTCATCTTTTCTGTACATTAATTGCTAAATAGTATAATAATATTACAGAATGGGGGTATTTCAGTGATTAGCAACAATGCTGATTCTGATGCATTATTATTATTTTTAAAGCTGACTCAGAGAAAATAAACACACCCAGGACCTTAAAGAAAAAAAAAAGTAAGCATCAAAAATACTAAAATAAAACTATTATACATGAATATTATTTTCCACAAAGTAATCATCATCATAATT